CTGAACAACTGTGCCAGCCTCAGCCCTCTGTGCACATGCACAGAAATGATGGGAGTTGGACTCAGGTACCTAGATTGTCCACACCTTGTTGTTTTCCTCCCAGACCATGTGTTTATGATTCCATCATAACTGTGGTATTTCCATTGTATGCTCCACTCTAAGTAGCGGAAGACAGACCAGATTCATTTGGTCATTGCCTCATGTTTTCCCACTGCTATTAAACTGTATTACTGTGCATTCCCTTCATGTTTGAGGCTGCCACTGTATTTGCAGTGAAATAGTTAAGTGTTGAGCGTACATGGCCTCAGAGTTATGGCTTCTTCTGATCATGTGTTAATATTTAGGATGGATTTGACAGAAGTAGCCAGAAAATTAAAAGTTTTCATGTACTCCTACTCAGATTTTTAAAGAAGGTCATGTATTTAATAGCTTGACTATATTATACTTGTGCATTCTGTATTTGCCAAAAAACTTGCTGTTGATTTTGGGGTATGGTGGTCCCAGTTATGAGGCCCCTGTGATCTATATAATGATTTTTGTTGTTGTTGATATATAAAACCAAGCAAGTAAAAAGTGTGGGAAAGGCAGGGGAATATTCTGGTGATCCTCTGTAAAGAATAAAATGTGAACTGCAAAGAAAAGGAAGAAATCATGTGCAGCTTCTTAACAGCCTGGCTGTTTGGGGAAGTGGGATTAAAGACTTGTCTTTAGTTTAGATTAAATTCCCGATTTGCACAGATCCCAGAGTGCTCTAGTTTTGCTCCTTGCTGTAGCCCTCTGCTGCCTCCAAGCCTGTGGCTTTCATTGGCAAGGGTGGTGTGGATTAGTTAATATTGATTAGTTCTATAACACCTGTAAAACATTGTTTGCCACAGAATGCCAGAGAGGCCAAGAGTTCAGAGAGCATTTGAGACCTATTGTTCTCATTACACAAAATCCAAATGTTGTTGTCCTGTGTCAGATGGCGTGGGAAATGCCTGCTGGATACTGTCAAGCTGGTATTCACATACCTGCCAATTAATTACAGATTACTTATGTTTGCAGAGAAATTCTGCAACCTGTTCCACAGCTGCTGTTTGCTGAATTCCTTATACTTGCTTAAAGTATTTAGTTCTAACATCTGTCAGACAAGACTTTAGACTAGCTGAATTATTTTTTCTGATTTAAAAAACAGGAATACCTTTTTTGATAAGTTTCTGCAAAACTTTACCAGTTAGGTAAGAATATTCTTTTATTGTATGTATTGAGAATGGGTGTTTTGTGTGTGCTTTGCAAAACACATCATGCTGGTTTATCTTGTGTGCTAGATGTAGAAACATTGTGGTATGCACTTCTGGTGCTGATTAGAGTAGGACCTACTCCCAGTAAGTACTGTACCAGGTAGCAGAGTTTCCTGAGGCTCCTAGTTCCTGATCCTTTTAAATTAAACTAGTGGCTGTGATATTTTTGCATGGTTCTTGCCCATTTTCAGGCCAGGCCACAGTGTTCTCCCAGCCACCCCAGCACTAAGCCTCTGCCTCCTACACGTACCTGCTGTAAAGATCTTCGTGCCTAGATTTTGTCTTTAATTTTACAGCCTGGAGTATACATGGGTTAAGTGCATGGTACAAGTACCTGCTGTTGGCTTTGGAAAAATGGAAGAAACTGAAAATAGATTTCAGGCTCATAAACAGTTTGGTACACATCATAGATGTGGAACACTGAAGCCTCATTACGAGAGGTACTGAAAACATGTTGTACTGGCCTTGTCAGAAGGCACTGCTGGTATTCACGTCTTCTGTAAATTGGGATGCTGTAACTTCTTATTGCAAAGTTCATGTATATTATAGTTGCAGCAACTTAAAAAGCTCTATCTTTTCTTCCTCTCTGCCTAGAAAGAAAAGGGAAAGAAATTGAAAGAGCAATGCTTCTAAGGATGTTCATACCATCTACTTTAGTCCCTTCTTCCTGGAGAGATCTACCTCTCTTTGGACTAGATACAGTCTTTAGGCAACTAGCCCAGGTTTTCTGAATTACTCCTAGCAATTACAAATTGATACAGAAAAGACAAATCTCCCCTTTCCCTAGAGGGAGGACAGGATGATTAAAAAGACTTTTATAAATATATGTAGATGCTTTATTTTCCCCCATTGTTGTTGGGTGGGGTTTTGTTTTTTGGGGGGAATTTTTTTTTAAACCTGAAGTTTCGTATGGTTATTTTATAAGGTTGATAACCTCGGCCCAAATCTCTATTCCAACAGTTTGTCTTCCATAAATGAAGCTGTATCATCGAAAAATTGCCTATGTGTCTTGGCTGCATAAGCATTCATCATTGATTAAATTTGAATAAGAGAAATATGAAAGTGCAATTTACAACAAAATAAAGATATTCTATTGTATTGAAACGTTATACAATATAAGTGGAAGTATTTTGATGTTCCTTTGTTCTGTGTGTTTTACCTCTTATCTCTGTTTGTCATTTTCTGTTTCTGTCTTGTCCTTCCTATCTACAAAAACCTGCTGTAGGCCAGTGTTACGTGGTGGGTCAGCTGCTAGCACTTCCTCTAACCCTCATCATGACAACACCAGGTAAAGATTATTTTTTTGTTAGTCATGATCCACTAATTTAGATTCTAAAAGTCAGACTTCTGTTTCCCTATTTCTAGTGTCCTTATTTTAAAATACAATGCTTATTTCTATCCTCCCTCTCAACTCCTGAGATATTTCAAGCCTTTATTCCTTACCCATCCAAGTCACCTGCAAAGACTTCACTTGTCTAATAGATACAATGTGCTGCAGAATTCTGGCTCAAAGTAATGCATGAGCAGAGGCTCTTAAATTACATTAGCTCTATGCTTCAAGTATTTTCTATTTAGTAGTGAGTTTCATATTTATATTGCTAGAAAATTTGGCCCTGCATCACCTTATTTTTTCCAGGTGTTCTCAGTAACATGCTTGTGATTATTAGTTGTAGCTGGATGCCTTTTCACTGGCATTATCTTGGCAGATTCTCATTGTTTCAGTGGAACTGGATATAAGATTGACATGTAATCTCATGGTCAGAATGAGGAAAAAAAATAGTCCCTTCCACATCTGTTGTTCTCATTTCCCACTACACTTCTCTGTTTTCATCGAAATGGAGGTTACATTTGTGCTTAAGTAGACACTGGATTCAAGCAGGTGATTCTTCTCTAACTCAGGAATTCAGTTTTTGTAATGGTCCAAAAGATTATCTCAAAGGATTTCTTCCTGGTAACCCTCTTGATTTAATACCTGGAATGGCTTGGAAGCTGGTAGAGCAGCAGTGATATACTGTGACTTACTGTGACTTTGTATTAAATTTATGTGACCTGGGAGGGCGGTGTGCCTGTGTCAGTGAAGCGATGAGCCTCTCTGCTTTTCCCAAGATGTGGTGAGGGACAACTATGCTGTGCATCTGGTGGGATTCTCAGGGTTTTTTTACCATCTACTACAAATTAAAAAATGGCTACAAAAAGACCCTCCTCAGAAATCTCTTTGGCTTTCAGAGGACCCGTAGTAGTAAAGAAAATGTGATTAATTTTTTGTGTGTGCAAAGCTTCAGACATTTTTAACAGTAGAAATGTTCAAATTGTTTTATAATTAACTTAGGTTTATTTTAAAATTACTTTTCTGAGTTAGCAGTGTGACCTTCACAGCACTGGGGAAATAAATAAATAAATAAAACCAAACCCACACCTCAGTTTCAGTTATTTTAATATTGCCCAAACTGAAAGAACTACAAGTAGTAAATAGCATAAATTATAGTTAAGTGAATGTTTGAAGTCTCCTTAGAATGAAAAATTAGTAATGGCCTTAATGAGAGAACCTTTTTCTAACAACAGGAGTTGAACAGAACTTCACAAAACTTTTTTTTTTTTTTTTTTTTTTTTGTGTGTCCCATACTGTGTTTTTACAACAGCTGTGACTGTTGACAGACAACTGTTTATTTGACTATTCCCCTACTAAAGGCTGTTTCTATCCTGATCTCACCTGGAAAAGGTTTCCCTCTCCCTGTATACCCTTCAACCCCAAAAAACATAGATCAAAATATAATTAACTTCCTATCTTTTATACAGTGTTGCTCAAGGATCTCACTGTTATCTAAGTCCATAATAATTCAACTCATCTAGAAACAGCAACTCTTATTTAGAAACAAGGTGTTAATGAACAATAATACAGAGAAACTTTTGACAGGTTGTCTGGGGGAAGGGGCAGAATCTTGCCTGAGCTGAGGGTTCTGTAGAAGTTTCCCAAAAGTGACAAAAGAACATGCAGTGCAAAGGTCTTATCTGCACTTAAATGCATTCTGCAAGCTTCAGGAATTCTACTCATAGTCACATTAGTCAAAGCTAAACATTCTTTTAGGTGTATTTTCTTGTGAATTTGGTAGCTTTGACATTATTTTGTTCCATTTCCTAGGCTGTTTGCAGCTGTTGTTCATATGACCTAATGAGAAAGCAAGTTGAGGGGAACTAATGTTGGAAACTGGGGTATTAAGATAGGAAGTGAGAAATGTGGTGGTAGGTGCAGCATCAGGAACTGCTTTTACCTGTTGGTTGTTGGAAAAGAATCTGGTTAAAAGGTAGCATTTGGGTAATCAAAACACTTTATGTAGACTTTCTGCCACTTCCCAACTGATAATAAATGTGCTGTATTTAATTAACTTGCCTTGGAGTTAGAATAATGCTTTCTCTGAATCGCTACATTAAGAAAACTGAGAACAAACTCTGGGAACAAACTTTTTAATGCATGCAGAGTTCAGCCAGCAGTGACTCTGCACTAGGCTCTTTATTTGCAAGGTTCTAGTCTCTGCTTAAAATACTAAGATTAATGTGACTGAGATCATTCAGTAGGTGTCCACTTGGGATACTTAAGTAGGTACGGAGCATAAGACACCCAATTCTTTCCAATTATTCATTTGGTTATTTCTAATCTGTTGCAGGTTTCTTGCAACTTTGGCATTTTAGCTCATACAATTTTCAGGTTTCATTAATCAGTTACGTAACTAGAAACAGTCTTTTGAGAGACCAAGTGATGGCAAGGAGCCTGTCTGCGTGGAGAATCTTCAAAAATATTTAAATGTCGAGAGCAATAAACACAGATTCAGTCAAGTGCTTACCCACTCCATATGTATTTGTACTTTATTTAGTTAGGATCCTATTGAAATAGACAACTCTGTAAAAGCTGGGAAAAAAGTTTTTTAATTCTCTCTGTCACCACCAAAAAAAATACATCTACTAGAATGTTGATAAAATATGGTACTTGCTAATATTTGTATGGATGAGACAGCTAAGCTATCTCCCTTATTTGTTAGATATGGTCTCTCCAACTTGGATACTACGCTTGAGGGAACACCAGATGACATGACAGTTGTAGATGCTGCTTCCTTAAGACGACAGGTATGTAAAGCATGGTAGTTGGTAATATTAAGAAAAAGCTGTAGTGTAAAATGGGGTGCAGGCTGTCTGTGTGGCTGCAAAGGTGTCCCTAACCAGTACGGTGAGGAATGCTCTCTGCCCATGCCGGACTGCCCTCGCGTATCCTGTATTGTTCTGGGCATCTGGAGAGTCCAACTCCATTTCTCTTCCTACTTATTAGGGACAGCAAGAACTGATCACTAGCGATTGAAGGTAGAAAGTCAAATTATCAACTGTTTAAACTCCATCTGTCTGAGATACTAATTTTACATGCCTATTCAGAAGCTTATAGAAAGTCTGGCAACTTTTAATGAAGTATTAAAAGCCTTTATTTATTTTTAGATAATAAAACTTAATCGCCGTCTACAACTTCTGGAAGAAGAAAACAAAGAGCGTGCTAAAAGAGAAATGATCATGTATTCAATTACTGTAGCTTTCTGGCTACTCAACAGCTGGCTTTGGTTTCGGCGCTAGACACAGCTCTCAGAAAGATTTAATAATTGAAAATACAAACAATTTGCAAAATTCTTTGTTTCTGTATTGTATGCTGTTTTATAATTAATACACTGGAAACTTCCAACACAGATAAAGGCTATAGAATTGCAGTGTTAAAGGGACACCTTGTTTTTCAGTTATAATGTATTTAATAATTTGTATTGCAAATACTTGCAGTATCCTCCTTTGCATGTTTCACTGTAAATATGGATCAGCCGTTACAAAGTTTGCTTCATGCAATGTAAGGAGAGTGATCTACAGGAATAACCACTGGATGTTTTGTTGTGGTGGGAAAAGAACAAATGGAATGGGTTTGGAAAAAATATAAAAACAAAAGAATAAAAAGGTTTTATTGTTGTTCTGTTGTTAAATGCAGTTAAAGATGATTGCACTAGTTTTCCTTTAGTCTGAGTAGTTTGAGGTGTGCCATATTGAAGGAGTGTGTCCTGTTTCATGAGTATGTTCCTTGTTTAAGTACATGTTCAGGGCAAATAATAAAAAGTTGCAGATTGTCCAGAGGTGCGTAATACGTTTGTTTTGTTGGGGTTTTTTTAGCTTTAATTTTGCAGATGTCTTTCTATAAAATACATTTTTAAGTCAGTCTGTGAGTGATCAAAAGATTATGGAGTACAAGATACAGATGTACTATATTTAATAAAACTGTCTCTTAAAAAAAACCAAAACCAACCAAACCATTGTTTAATATTATTTCATGAAAATTTATTTGAGGGTTCATCTAAACTATCAGTCTTTGAAGTAAGTAGTAGTGATGGGACTGAACAACTCCAAAGTAGCAGGTAGCCAGCTGACACCCCACTGCAGGCTGCCATCCCCTGCGCGTTGAGATTGTTCTCAGTATGTGTGGTGAGTACACAGGTATGGGGAGCTAGCCTGGTGTCCCCACATACTGTGCTCAGTTTAGATATATCCTGTTCAGTCCCACAGTCTACTGCGTTTTTGGTGGCACCACACGGTGCTGCCTCCCTGCTTGTTAGTTTTTTTATGTCTGCAGCTGCCGCTTCCGCTCACGTGCAGAGCTGTGGCCCTTCCCTCGGGGTGCATGAAACCACTAATGGCGTCAGTGCGTGGGAGAATGTGCAATGGTATCAAAACAATGCTTCAAGGGGAGCTTTCCTACAACAGCTAGACCTAGGCCACTGTGCAGGACCATTTCTGGGCTCCAGAAGTACACAGACGTGAAGAGATGATACACAACAGCTGCAGAAGAGAAGGACGTGGGCCCTGGCTCTCTAGGACAGCTGGTGGCTGCCGGCTCCAGCATAGTGGCGGTGGAGCTGTGCCCTGGTGAGGACAGGTGGTTCAGGGAGCATCGGGATACAAAGCCCCGAGGACGCTGACACACATACCCCGCGGGTGCCCGCGTAAGGAACGCTGCTCTCGTACATTTCACGCGCTATCAAGTTAAGCAGGGCCCTGTGCCCGGTGTTACGTGGCTTTTGCGCTGTTGTACAGGCTGCTGTGCCTGCTTCCTCCCGCTTTGCTGGATTTGGCTGTTGTGTGAATTGTTTTTAAGCTCTGTTCACTGCGTTACGTGACTCCGCTGGCTGTCAGGCATTTGCTGTGTGTTTTCTTACCATGAACGGTGAAAGCGTCTGCTTTTCCTACAAAGGGAAGGGCCTGCTTTGCGCGCTTGCTGGATTTTCACTGATTTTATACCATGG